TTTTGAACACAGTTCTCCTACTGTACATTATCAATGTGTTATATCCTAAGCACAAAAAAAAGCAAAAAAATAAGAAGGTAAGGGGTTGGGAGAGATAATGACAGTTTTAAACTATTTTATGTATATCATAGGAGACAGCAAATTTAATGCTGTTGAAAATTAAGGTTCTCACATGAAAGAAGGGAGCTTCAAATATAGAATGGGGAAAAGTAAGAAATGTTTTCCTTTTTTTAATATCCTTAGTTGTAAGTGGACACAATACCTTTATTTTATTTACATATTTTCATGTGGTACCGAGGAACAAACCCAGAGCCTCACACATGCTAGGCAAGTGCTCTACCACTGAGCTACAACCTCTGTCCCGGGAATGTTTCTTATAGATTTAAATTGGAGATGTAAGTGTGAACTCATAATTTGAAGAAAACTTCATATATTTTTTATCTCTGTCCAGCAAAAGAGCTTACAAACAGTGACATCCCAGCATCGATGAGCACATCCAGATTTTAGCTTCTAATACCATTCTCCACTGTCCCAGCTCTGAGGTGGAGACAAGTCTGGGATATTTTATTGTATCAGAAAGTGAGAACATACTCAGAATTTTTGGGGATAGGTTAAAAGGACGAAGAAACCTGCTTGAAGGGTATTTTACTCTACAAATTTACAGATTTTGAGTATCAAAAAAAAACATTGGCAGTGGATTGTAACCTATTGAAATTGTTTTAAAAACCTGTGAGCCTAAAGTAATGCTGAGAAATAAAAGGGGCAGAAGTGAGGGGAAACCCTGCTTTACAAAAGAGTGCCAGTTGATAAATGTAGAGGAGAAAAGCCCTATTTTAAAAAAAATTTATGTATATTTTTTCATTGTAGATGACCACAGTATATTTATTTATTTTTATGTGGTGCTGAGGATCAAACAGTGCCTCTTGCATGTGAGGGCCGAGTGCTTTACCACTGAGCTACAGCCTCAGCCCCAGAAAAGCCCTATTTTTTTACTGCCAATGTAATTATTGGTCCCTATAAGGATCATCAATGGATACTAACACCACTGGATAAAATGTCACTGGAGAACAAATATCCGCAGTCTCCCAAGTATCATTCCATGGGTTAAAAATGACAAAGGAGAACAGGACCGGGATTGTGGCTCAGTGGTAGAACGCTTGCCTCACATTCGTGAGGCACTGGGTTCAGTCCCCAGTATCACATAAAAATAAAAACAAATAAAATAAAAGTATTGTGTCCATTTACAACTCAAAAGAAGAAAAAATTACAATTAAGGACTGGAGGCATAGCGCACGCACACACACACTCTCTCTCACACACACACACACACACACACACACACACACACACACACCCCAAAACAAAAAGGAAAAGTATCTACAATGGAGAGATTTGGCAGGAGACAGTACCCCAACCAAGTAATCAAACTTTGGCATCTCCAGTTATGGACCAAATTGACCTTATGGACCAAATTGACCTTAGGTGCAAAGGGAAGGATATGATGTCACCAATGGGGTGTAATTGCTCAAAGTGTTTAACTAATGTCTAATCACGGGCAGTTGCCAGACAATCCAGATGGTGTGGCATTTTTCAAAAGCAGACTAGGCTTAAAAAACAGCAGTGTTGTGAAATACCGGAAAGAAAAAGGAAAGGGAATTTGTTGGGCTGTTTTAACTATGCAGAATAAAGGGACATGACAACCAAATATAAGGCTTAACCCTTTTTATTATTATTTATTTTTTAATTAACAAATTGTATATTTTTATGGTGCACAACAATATCCTTAAATAGGTATACATGGTGGAAAAGCTAAATCAACTAATTAAGATATCTATTACTTCACAGATTCTTTGTGGTAAGAACTTCAAAAAATTTATTCTCCCAGTAATTTTCATGTATATATTATATTGTGAGACTCTGATCATCATGTTATACAATAGACTTCCCAAATATATTCTTATCACACCAAAATATTGTGTTCTTTAACCAATATCTCCCTAATCTCCTCAGTCCCCAGCCACTGCTTAATTCTTGATCAAATTCTCAACCTAAAAATGAAAAGTAAAGCTTGAGGGCAGTGAGTGGAACACCACACATTCAGCTGTTATTGGACTTGGTACTTGATGTTAGTTCATTTCCATAGATGTGATAATGATAATATACTTGCATAGGAGAATTCTTTGCTCTGATAAAAAATACATATTGAAGGATTGAGGGGTGAAATACCATGGCACATGTTATTTATTTAAATTATTTAATAACAACAATACAAAATGACAAAGAGAAAAGTCAAATGTAGCAAAATAGTACAAATTGGTTAATCTAATTGAAGGGTATACACGTATTTTTTGCACTAGCATTTCAATTTCTGTAACATTCAAAATAGAAAGCAAAGCCAGGCTTGGTGGCATATGCCTATAATCCCAGCAGCTTGGAGGCTAAGGCAGGAGGATCACAAGTTCAAAGCCAACCTCAGCAACTTATCGAGACCCCTGGGTTCAATCCCCACTACCCACCCTGCAAAATATATAAAGCAAAGGGAAGACAGTTACATTTCATTGATAATATAGCCATCCGTTGGAATTTGGTAATTATTGTCTTCAAATAATTTCTAAAATATGGGCAGATATTTACATACCACCATTTAAGAAGTTATAAATTAATTGTTAAGTAGATAAAAACCATAAAAAGCATTTGAAATCACAATACAAAAAGCAATCACAATAGGGTAAACACCCAATAGACACCAAAATGAAGAATGCTAAAGACCTTATTCGAATGTCCCTCCTCTTTTAAAGGTAACTGTTATCCTGAATATGTTTGTGTTTATCAATATCTTGCTTTTATTTATAGTTCTACTACAGTGCCTTAACTCCTAAACAATAGAATATTTAATTTCATATGCTTCTGATCTTTTTATAAGTAGAACCATGTTCTATGTATTCTTCTGTGGTTTACCTTTTATGTTCACATTTATATCTCTGAAATTGATTCTGTTGTGTGTAGCTGTGAGTCATTCATTTTGCTACTCTTTAATATTCTATTTACAGAACACTTTTTTTTTTTTTTTTTTTTTTTGGTGGTGCTAGGCATTGAACCCAGCGGCACTGAATTAGATCTCTGGAACTCTGGCCTGTTGAGGGCATGTATGGAATTAACCTCTCAATGTCATACTATTGGTCTTATGTTTATTTGTTCTGAAATGTAGTGGACTCTTATAATAATTAAGAGTCTTATGATAATTAAGACTCTTATAACTAAGACTCTTCTAATAATTAAGGTATATTTTTCCCTTTTTGTGAGTTATCCACCATCTTTTCGTATTGGGATGCCCTACCTCACACTGCTTATTTCCCAAGGACCAACCTTCAATTGGCACAAATTTACAAATAAGGAAACAGACACACCTAGAGATTAAGTGGTCCTATCTGCTTCTCAGGCTTTCTCTACCCTATAGTAACTTTGTCTCCCATCATGACCCTTGTCAAAATTATCTGTCTTCTCCATTATAAGCTCCATGAGATTAAGTTCTTTGCTTGTCCTGTTCCACTCTGTAACACCAGGCCTAGTGCAGTACCTGACAGTTACCTGACACAAGGTAGATGAACAATAAATGGTTATTGAATGTTAAATGAGTATTATAGGTAACACTTTCAAAACATCAAAATACCCGAATTAAATGTTTGATGGCTTGCTTTTAGAAATATCCACAACAAAATTTGATTACATTCATGTGGAAATTGAAAACAATCTCTAAGCAAAAGCTCCTTACGAAAAATGTTTGAAAGCAAAATTATCTTTCTATCTACCTTTTCTTATATGACAAATTTTTCATATGATAAAACATTTCTTTTTTATTTTCTTTTGTTTCTTTCTTTTTTATTTTTTATTTGTTCTACTTAGTTGTACATTACAGCAGAATGCATTTCAATTCATCGTACACAAATGGAATGCAACACTTCAATTCTCTGGTTGTACACAATGTAGAGACGCACCATTGGTCTTATTTGCTATGCTATTGGTGTATACATGTACCTAGGGTAATGATATCCATCTCTTTCATTTCTCTCTTTTTTAACATCATTAGGGCTATTAGTGTACTATAGCTTCTAGATGCTAACTATGTATTTGTTAATTGAGCTGGTATTATTTCAAAGAAAAGCTAGAAAAAAATTAAATCAACATAATTCATAAAAGTGTGTTTATTTCAAGAGTAGTTGGTGTTTCAGTTATCCCAACAACTGCTTCATGCACCTAAACTATTTTAATTGTCTGTATAGAGAAATAAGTTTATTAGATAGAGTTAATGATACCATACTAACATTTCAGTTTTTCAACATTTTACAGTAATTAATGGGTACTTTAGTTCATTTTATTAATTTGGTACATGAACCCAATGTTTGAGGGCTCCCCATGCTGTAGATACTGTGTATCAATGTATAAAACTTATATAAGAGGGATTAGGGGTTTGGCTCAGGGTAGAGCAATTGCCTAACTGTGTGAGTTCAACCCCTAGCACCAAAAAAAAAAAAAAACAAACAAACAATCCAATATTACCTTAAACACTCACAAACTAATGTAGTATTTTTGGACTCATATTTTCCTTTCCTTGTATAAATTTTGTTGCTAAACATGGGGTAAGGAAGATTCATGCAGTTATATTGATTTGATCAAGAATGGTGGTCCAAAGCTGAATTTTTTTTAAGTGGTCTGTAGTAGCAAGCAGTACTTTGCATATAAATAGGATTTAGTTAAACAGAGATCTCCCATATTCCCTTGCTTTATCAGAACATTCCTTGTTATTTACATCAGGTATGGGAGACAGGGTCAAGAAAAAAAGTCTGATATTTCCTTTTCAAAATTCTGGCAGGGAATAAATGTCTGTGTACAGTTAGTACCCAATCAGTCGACAGTTCATTTGAGTTTACGTGTGTGTGTGTGTGTGTGTGTGTGTGTGTGTGTGTGTGTAGGAAGATAAACTCTTTTTTTCTTCTTGGCAGGTGTCCTTGTAGACTTGGGTCTGGAGGAAAATGGGACAGCTCATCAGAGAGCAGAGAAATACGTGGTTCGTCTGGACAATGAGATTCAAAGCAAGTTTGAAGTGTTTATGAGGAGGGTGAAACAGAACCCATACACACTGTTTGTGCTAGTTCATGACAACTCCCACGTGGAACTAACGAGGTGATTGCTTTCGTGTGAGCAAACACAGTATTTCTTCTATAGCAGTCATTGTTACACAAGGAAATCTTTTAAAGGTGACAGTGTGAAGCCCCAGGGACCCTAACATTTAGTGTCTTCCTCCTGCTAACTGATTCCTCATCTTTTCTTGCTCCCTCAACTCTTCGTATGATTTAGTGTTGATTTCATTTTAAATATACTGTGAAGGAATTTAGAAATTTCTGTCAGAAGTAAGAATATCATGGGGGCTGGGGCTGGAGCTCAGTGGCAGAGCACTTGCCTGGCATGTGTGAGGCACTGGGTTCGATCCTCAGCACCACATATAAATAAATAAGATAAAGGTCCATCCATAACTTTAAAAAACAATTGTTTAAAAAAAAGAATCTTGGAACTCAGTTGCCTCAGAGAGAGGGCAGGGAGAAGGAGGTCAAGGTAATAAGCTCCCAGGAGGGAGAAGTGCTTCCTTCTCTAGCTCTTCCCTAAGCTCTTACCCTTTTTCATTTACTTCTCTTCCAGTGTTTCCTCCACTTCCTCCTTTTTCTCTCTTCCCTCTTACCTTTAAAAGTAGTGGAAATGCCACTTAAATGTTTCTGAGAGCAGATCTGAAACCTTCCCATCTCCCAATTTAAACAAGAGAATATTGTATTTCTTGGTTGGACTTATTAATGAAAGAACATTATGTTTGGAATGATAGAAGCAGTTTTGCCCCCAGATCAAATTGTAATTATCTGGTGAAGTGTGGACTAAAAAGGCAAATCATTTTTTTAAAAAAGAGCGGAAAAAGAAGGAAGGAAGGAAGGAAGGAAGGAAGGAAGGAAAATAAAAAGAAAGAGACATGCGTGAGGCACTGGGTTCGATCCCCAGCACCACATAAAAAAAAAAAACTAAATAAACAAAATAAAGGTATTGTGTCCATCTACAACTACAAATATTAAAGAGAGAGAGAGAGAGAGAGAGTCATCGAGTATGACATATCATGGTTTGTCCTCACCATGGAAGGACAGGGTGGTTTCAGTCATCATTGAACATTTTATCAATCTTCTTTTCTCCAGGAGAAACTGAGGTTAGGAATCTGGAAGTTCTTTGTTTTGTGGTAAAAAATGTCAGAATTCAAAATAAAATCTTGTTCAGAAGCCAGAATGGGTTTGATAGGCTGCAATTTGAAGTCTAGAACCATGTGTGCGTGTAAATAAGACCTTCCATAATCTGTTAGATTTAGGAGAAGGAATAAAAGAAAGAAGGAGAGGGGAAAGGAGGGAAAAGAAATTTTACAGACATCTCTTTAGTCATTGGTAATGTTCTGTGAGGAGAAATAGCTCCCTAACCTCACACGCCTTGTCTTTCAAAGTTTAAGGAATATTTTTGAGGACACAACATTAGATCTCTCTGTATTTAACTCCCTGGGTCATCGAGATTATTTCTTTAATTTTAAAAGTATGTTTTTTTGCCAGGTACAGTGGCACACACCTGTAATCTTTAGCTACTCGGGAGGCTAAAGCAGGAGGATTACAAGTTTGAGGCCAGCTTCAGCAATTGGGTGAGACCCTGTCTCAAAATTAAAAAATAAAATAAAATAAAAAGGGCTGGAGATGTAGCTCAGTGGTAAAGTGCATTAGTCATTTGGGGAATGTAGGGGACATTGTGACAAAAAAAAAAACTGAGAAAAAAATAACTAGGAGAAGGGAAGATTTATTTTGGCTCATGGTTTCAGAGATTTCAGTTGGTGGTTAGCTGGAGGTGAAGGCAGAGCATCATGGCAGAAGTGTGAGGCAGCAGAAAGCTTGTGGAAGCCAGGAAACAGAGAGAGCAGAAGAAAGGGGACAAGGATAAGATATAATCCCCAAGGACACACCCCCAGAGACCCGCTTTCTCAACCCATGCCCCACCAGCCTCCATTTCCACTACCTCCCATAGCCCACTTAACTACCAATGGATCATTCCACTGATGATGTCAGAGCCCTCATGACCCAGTCACTTCCCAAAAGCTCCACCTCTGAACATTGCCACATTGGGGACCATGCCTTCAATAAGTGAAATCTTTGGAGGACACTTCATATCCAAATCAGATAAGCACCCTTGGATTCAATCCCAGGTAACACAAAATTTACATATACCCATGCACGTATTTGAGGATGCATGGGAACCTGGTATACACAAATTGAACAGAACTGAAAGAGCTTCAGAGAAACGAGTCTTGGTCACAAGTTGTAAAAGGACAGTTCTCCCCAGACAGCCTGCCAGTCTGGAACCCATGGCAGGAACAGGAGTGATTTTGATACAGAGGAGCTCTGGCTGCAGGGCTCTAAGCATTGTGTCCTGGTGAAGAGGCTCCCTCATTCAGGTGAGCTTTCAAAGTCAAGTGCTCTGTCTCAACTACAGCTGTAGCCATCCCTGGCCTGGAACACTTTGAGTTGTATCAGGGGCAAACTGAAAAAAAATCACTAAAATCTGTGTGCAAAGGGGTAAGAAGTGTAAAAATTTTTCTTCTTCCAAATCACATTTCAATTGAATCTACTGCCCCCAATTTAAAAGAACTAGAAAAGTAAGAACTAAAACATTATTTCCATGTTGGTGTCTGCTTCTGTATTCAGTCAGTTGAATTAAAAGGTGTTAATGTGACTTTCCATTTTTCTACAGCGTCATTTCGGGCTCTCTATCCCATGGCGAACCCAGTCATGGACTGGCTGATAGAGTCATCAATTGCAGAGAGGTTCTGGATGCTTTTAACCTCCTGGTGCTCCAGGTCAGCTCCTTCCCGTACACTCTGCAGACCCAGCAGTCCCGGATCAGCTCCAGCAACGAGGTTCACTGGATACAGCTGGATACGGTGGTGAGTTTCCTATATACTTATATTTTCAGCTTCCCAGGGAGCGGAAATTTGGAACTGATGGTATTGCTCAAGAGTTCAAAATATAAATAACATAATGTTTCATCTTCTAAAAGTACCATATGATCACAATTTTTTTCTTTTTTCTTTTCTTGACATGAGGTCTCGCTATGTTGTGCAGGGTGGTCTCAAACTCTTGAGCTCAAGTGATTCTCCTGCCTCAGTCTTCTGAGTGCTGGGACTATAGATACTCATTACTATGCCCTGCTGACTACAATGATTAGAAAGACTAAAAACTAGTGAATAGTGTCCTGTGGAAATTTGATTAGGTGGTTCTTTTTGGATAACATGCAGATAGAAAATTAGCATCCTGTACAGTTTTTTTATGTGATGTTATCTAAGAACATAATTAAGACCGTGGATCACCTTGGTGTCTTTAAATGATTAATTTTATTCTGAGACCTGGAAATTTTATTGTCCTCTTGGGTGGCCTCTTTGTCAAGTTCAAGTCTGACTGATCTACATCACTGTTAATCACTCTCATGCCCTACAGCAACTGGTTTTTTTTTCTTTCAACCAATTCTCATATTCTTGTTTACAACTGTGGAAGATGGCACTGTACTTTAAGGAATTCAGTAGAAGCATTGAATGTGTTGGAAGTAATCATATAAATATCCAGGTCTTTATATTTTTTTTTATTTCAATCCCTAATTCCTGAAAAATATTTTCTATGACCTATAAACTTAAACCAACTATATTATCAAAGAAATAAGAGTTGGATAAAATAATAAAGATAAGTCATTTTGCCATGAATCCTCTGTATAAAAACACTGAACACTAGGCTGGAGTTGAGTTGTAGCTCAGTGGTAGAGTACTCACCTAGCATGGGTGAGTTACTGGGTTCAATCAAATATGTATAATTAATATTTGTCAATTAAAAATAAAACTATATTAACATTTTTAAATCCAACAGATAGGTGTCCTATTATATGTGGCACAGAGGAAACTATCCTATATACCTGTTCACTCAGTCTTTTCCAAAAGGGATCACCTCCATGATAGGAAGAAGGGCTAATAGTTCCCGCCCTTTATTTTTTTCTTACATGAAATAATAAACAGTTTTAATTTTCCTTAAAAGTCATTCCTATGATTAAGGTTAATATGTTAAGTGTAATAATGGGATTCTGGTCATATCTTTAAAAAGAGTAGTTATCTTCACTATATGTAGTAAAGTACTTATGGATTAAACATAGGATTCCAGGAATTTATTTAAAATAATTGAGTTTGTAGGAACTTGTTATACCCTTCTGCAATTAAAGGTCTGAAAAATCCTATGGAATTGAGGTCAACATAGAGAAAAGGAAAATATTACATTGATCTGTGTTACATTACGCTGAATCTAATTTATAACACATGGGGGAGAAGCTCCTTTAGTTGTCTTGAAGCCAGCGTCCTATGGAAGAATAAACGGAAAAAGCAAAGAAATTCAACTCAAGAAAACATTGTCTAGCACTCGTGGACTTGTGTTGGATCTTCAAAAATACACTGAGAACCGATGGCTAGAGAGAAGGCCAAATTCATATCTAAGTACTATTATTCAAAGCAGAATAAGTCCATTTCATAAATCATGGAAGAAAACAGCTGTGAGGGCAGTGAGGCCAAGGACTAACCAGCAAATGCCACTGGGTTTGGCCTCAAGAGTCTTTGGTGACCTTCCAGGGAACAGCATCAGGAGAGCAGAGTGGCTGCAGCCAAGACAGAGCTGGCAGCCCGAGGTCACTGAGACAGAGAGACTTGAGAAGGGGCATTTTTGTTTTGTTTTGATTTATGAGTAGGGCATTTCTCCCCGAATATTCTTATAGTAAAATAATTCTGAGTTTCATGACATGCTTCAAAGAATGGCCCCACTTACTTCTATATTACAAAAGTCCCCACGACCCCGTATTGTAAACAGTGCAGTTACACTTTAATGCAAACATATCAGACTGTTCATTCCTAATTCAAATTTTTAGTAGTTGTAGTCCTCAAAACTCATAGTGGCTGCAGTTAATCACAAGACATCATTAGCAGTCTGCTTTATACTTTTGCTACAAATAAAGAAAAATAAAAACAAGGAGAGGAGAATACAGCCTCTCTAGCAAGTTACAATGTTGCTGTCAGGAAAAGGAGCAGGCACAGAAAAGGATTTGCTATTGTTCCAAAAAAAAAAAAAGGGCCAGAAATGAGAAGGAAATATGAAGACCAAGTACACACAAGATAAAGCTTTTCCTAGTGGCTGTGTCCCTGCAGCCAAGATGAGGAGGGAAATGGAGATGAATGACTTTTTTCCCCCTGGAACTGACTTCCTTGACTCAGCTACACTCAGCACACAGCTAAGGCCAGGAGGAGACAAGAAAGGGCTTGAGGCCTTTGCAATCTCTGTCAGTCTGTGCTCTGCACCTCCAGAATCTGTAAGAATATCCTCAAGACCTGAGTCCCCAGGTAAAGTCCATTTAATCTCAAAGGAGACCTTGTTCCAGTGAGCAGGTTGACTGTGTTAGAAGGCCTCAAAATAAACAAATAGATAGATAGATAGATAGATAGGTAGGTAGATAAAAGCTGCCCATTAAATAGTGCTTTATTTTTATCTTCTGAACCCTATAAATCACAAAATTTTGTCTTTCAGATGGGTTACTAAAAAGCTCACAACAAAATTTGTAAACCATTTCTCACAAAGAATGCAGAAACTTCTTTTTAAAATTTTTTCTAGATATTGATGGGCCTTTATTTTACTCATTTATTTAAATGCGGTGCTGAGAATCGAACCCAGTGCCTTACACGTTCTGTGCAAGTGCTTTACCACTGAGCCACCACCCCAGCCCTGTGCAGAAACTTCTGACATTCATTTTTTTGAGACTAACCTGGCCAAATTTTATTCCTCTTACACTTACTTTTCTTCCTCTGAATGCCTAATTTATTGTTACATTATTACGCTTTTAAAAGCTGCATTATTTCCTCTATAAAATAAGTTGAAGAGGGTTTAAAGAAAAAACTATTAATACAAAATGAAAGACTGAAATGCCCAGGCAACGTGACAACAAGAAAAAATGATTGTATAGAAAAGAGACAAGAAAACTACACACACACACACACACAACACACACACACACACACACACACACACACAAATAACCACAGACCTATGGAGTCAAAAGGCTTAACAGTCTGGGGTTTCCTAGTTAAAGGACAAACAGCTTGTCACACATCTCAGGATCCTCTAAGGGCATCATTGTGTCACATCCCAAAATAGCTACTCATTTTCACAGTGATGACTGAGTCATCAAGAAGGGAACGAATTAATACTGTGTAAAAGTATCTATCTGTCTGTCTGTCTATTATCTATCTTATCTATCTAGTACCAGGAATGAACCCAGGGGTGCTCTACCACTGAGCCACGTCCCCAGACCTTTTTATTTGAAACAGGGTTTCGATAAATTGCTGAGGGCCTCTCAAAGTTGCTGAGGCTGACATTGAACAATCCTCTTAAGTTTCTGGGATTACAGGCATGCACCACCACACCCAGCATATATTTTATTTTCAAAAAGAAACTTTGCAAAAGGATGAGCTTCTTTATCCTAAGTACATGTATGAAGACAGGAATGGTTTGAAAATACTTTGTGTACAATCTGTGACTTGAAAAAAACTGTGCCCTACATGTGTAATATGAAATGAATTACATTCTGCCATCATGTATAACAAATTAGAAAAAATAAATAATTTAATTGAAAATAAAAAAGGATGAGCTTCTGTGAGTTATCATTAAATGATGTCAGGACAGTTAAGTTTTCTGAAAAAGGTTTTGAGTTGCTCTCCAGAGAGTTCTGTGGATAGCATAGAATCATAGTTCTGCAGAGAGCCTATTCCAACAGGGAAAGAATGAGAGTGGAAGCCGTATGACCTCATGTATCCAAACAAAAGAAAAAGAAGACAAACCATCCTTGTAGTTTGCCTAAAGGAAGTATGTCAACAACGCTCCACTAGTCACATACGAAGTTCTCTTGACTTATTGTTAGGGTGTGTGGTATTAGGGACTCATCCCAGGGCCTCCTGAGTGCTAGGCAAGTGTGCTACACCCAGGGCCCTAAGTTCTCATGAAGTGAAAAGAATCTCAGTTGGTGCCTCATTGATGAGTTCAGAGTTGGTATCAGGTTATATAACAGAACTACTACTTTCTTTTCACCTCCCAGGAAATAACCTCTTACAGGGAATCTCCTCTCTACTCCCTCTGAAAATGAGACATACTGTATCCTGTCCTCACTAACTTTTGTTTGTTTGTTTGTGTTTGTGTGTGTGTGTGTGTGTGTGTGCACGCCTGCACGCACTTTGAACCAGGAGGACGTGGGCTGTGAGGAGAAGCTGTACTTCGGCTTGAATGAGTACAGCAAGTCTCTGCAGTGGGGGGTCACAAGCCCACTCCTGAGGTGCGATGAGACCTTCGAGAAGATGGTGAACACGCTCTTGGAGAGGTAAATAAGGACTCCCGCCCTTTTCTTTAGCTGTACTTAACATGTCACAGGGAGTTTGGAGCTCATGCAGATGACCTGCAGAGGCCAAATAAGGAAAGCCTCTTCTTCTAAGATGCCTTTTACCCCCGTGGGTTTCACGTCATCACCTGAGACCATCAGAGGAAGACATGACCTAAAATAGTGACCTACAGTAGGGACACAGCACCCTTTTTCACGCCCTGAATTGTCTCCCAATGAAGCGTCATTGCTACCGGCAAGAGGTTGAAAGGTCAGAAAGGGATTTGCTCATTAAAGACCTCATCTCTCCAGCCGCCCTGACCCTATACTTCGGGCTTCTATGTCTTCTCCTCTTTCCTCCTGTTGACCACAGGAAAGCATCCTCAGATGACTTGGTAAAAACCAAACTTGACTATGAGGGAGGTGGAAGACAGACTGAAGAAAGTTAAGGAACAATCAGAGAACTTCGGTGTGTTCAGCTCTTCGGGCCCCTCTTTCAGTCTCCGGTGCTTAGAGATTAAGGGATAATGATTCTTCTGGCTTGTCTGCCTTTTATTCCTCAGTTCTAGGTCAAACCCTGAAGGAGTTTTTTTCCTTTTCTTAACTTGAATAATAAACTCAAAGATTAGTTAAAGGCATTTCCTTAACCTAATAGAAGTTTCTCCTTGCCCTTGGCCTCAATATTCTATGTTCATCCAACAATGGAACCATATGACTCCATTGTCTGAGGCAGATTGTAATTTTTAGTAACTGGGGTTCTTAAAACTAGCCCCAGTTGATCACAAGCTATCTGTTTAACAAATCTGCTCTCTATATTTTGCTAAGGGAAAAATAAAATAAGAGACAAGTGGATACATCCTAACTAGCTACTTAAAATGTTGCATCAGGAACTAGGAGTTGGCCTAGGATAGGATTTGATTTTCTCACAGCTGTTGGATTTGAGAAGTCTTAGCTGACACTGTGACATTAATCCTTTCACAGAACATGTTATCCCAAATTTCCAAAATTATCCATGAGTCTCCCCTTTAAAGTCTCCCACCCATTCCATGTGCCAGCCTGGAATACATTTTTCTTCCCAGGAACATCAGACTCATAACTTGTATTTTAAAAGATGATCCCATCAACTTCAATTCCAACTTTTGTAATACACAACTACAGTTTGTCGTCTAATGGAAATGTAACAGACTGGAGAAACTAGTTGCTTTTAAATTCATAATTTTTTTCCGAGTGTGAAGGGTAAGGGCCTATATATCAAAGTTACCATTTATTCTAACCTTGGCTTTTCCTCATGGCCAAGCAAAACAGAACAAAACACCCTAAGCTTTCAACACAGATCGCCTGTGCTTTCCTCCTCCAATGCAGTCTCTTGCAGGCTAATAATAGCTATGATTTATTGAACAGCTGAAGGAACTGGCCCAGGATTGGTTGAACTGAAATTTTTCTTTACTTTTTCCCCACTAAAACCTTGTAATACGTGTGAAGAAATTGTCAAGAGACCTGAAAAAAAACAGACCCAGCTCAGTCTTCAACAAGTTGTGTGATCCAAGATGAGGATGGATGTCTCACAGCACCTTAACTCATTCTGCTATGAAAGGACAAAGTGTTAGGATACAGGGCACTGCTGGTCCTTTCCCCTCTGAAACTCTTCAAAGACATGTTTTTCGTTTGATGACCCTAATTGGTATTTGCCCCTGGACTGTTCTGTGCAGGCCGGTGGAACATCTGTATTTTGATTATAAAATGAAACAAATGGAAATCCCCCACTGTCCACCCAGTAGCCAGCAGCCAGGAAGACAGTGCACAGGCTCAGCCCAGCCAATCCTGGGCCTGGCTCTGCTTTGCCAGCACTCAGTTAGTCAGCCACTCATCTAGTCATTAGCCTTCCTGAGGAACAGAGATTTCTTTTCTACATGCTCTGTAATTTTACAAGTTGCCAGTTTCAACAAAGTGATCGTCTCTAAGCAGGGACCAAAGGCTGTCGCTCACAGCTCTAGTTGGCATTCCCCCTTGACTAATTTGGGTCTCAGACAATAAAGAGCCCAAGCCACTAGAGGGTGCTCTTTCGCCAGCCAGCTCCCCTGTTTCCAGCAAGGCACATTTATGGGAAGCCATCTGTAGGGCTGACCTGAAATTAGAAATAATTACCCATTTTATGTCTGACACTCCAGAAATACAGTAATCTCTCCCTTTACTGTAATCTTAAGTATCAGAGAACTGAGTAGACAACATTGCCATTCTAACCCCATGCCACCAGCAAGAGGTTAGGACCCAAGGATTATCCCTTAAGAGTCTAACGAGGCCAATGCATTTCAGAATTTAATGTGTATGTAAATCACCTGTGGATTCCGATTCAGTAAGTCAGGAAGGTGGGCATGTCTAACAAACCCCCAGGTGCTGCTGTTGCTGGTCTAGAGCCCACACTTTTGAGAGGGTAGGGCCACAAAACATCCCTAAGCCTCTTGGTTTTACCTGTCCCAAGGGGCCATTACTCACATGCTTTGGAAGCTCAACTTCTCCTTCTAGTGATATGGGATCCAAGGTCCTTCTAGAGCTCACACCCCTGATCAGGAGCCCCTTCCCTGCCATGCTCCATCTGCTTTTTGCTGCCCAGGCCTCACTGTTCCAACTGGTCCTGCTGCTGAGTGCCAGCCCCCTGTGTTCTTTTGAAGGTACCCCAGGCTGCACAGCATGGTCGTCCGCTGCTACCTTCTCATCCAGCAGTACTCGGAGGCCCTGATGGCTCTTACTACCATGGCGTCACTACGGGACCACAGCACACCAGAAACACTCAGCATTATGGATGACCTCCTCAGCTCCCCAGGAAAAAACAAAAGTGGGAGGGGACACATGCTCATTATCAGGGTGCCCTCGGTGCAGCTGGCCATGTTAGCCAAGGAGCGACTGCAGGAGGTGCGGGACAAGCTGGGTCTACAGTATCGCTTTGAGATCATCCTTGGGAACCCGGCCTCTGAAATCAATGTTGCAACCCACTTTGTGGCACGATTAAAGGTTAGCAAAGGACAGACATTTGTTTCTGTTTTCCAGGAATCTGAAATACCATTTGTTTCTGTTTTCCAGGAATCCTATCTAGGTGGCTCAGAGGCCTGAGTTTAGTAGATTTTTGCACGTGTGTGCATTTGATCTCCAGAACAGTGTCAGGGCTAATATGAGGGATATATTTGCTTTCATTAACTGGAGCCAGATTCTAAAGATTCTGTCAAGCCCCCTTGTTAGCATGTGCATGCAGTTGGTCTCCATGCTCTCCAACTGCAGGTGCAAAAAATGAGATGATCCCATTTGACCCCATGTTTATTGACCTTGTTCGAGATGCATCTAGCCCACGGCCATCTGTTTTCTCAGGAACAAAAGGTAAGCTGTTCTCTCGGACCTCGCTGAGGTCTCCTTTTCAGTATCCTCAACTCACTAATTCTTTTCTGTCCATCTAGCCCATCTGTCAGCTCATGGCTAGAGTCGGTAAAGTATCCCATTTCATCTTCAGTACTCATCTAGAACTGCTTCTAGCCCTTGCATGTGAATTTCTCAATAATTTGTTGTTTCTTTGTACTTGCTTTGACTCTCAGCCCCCAGGCTTGGCTAGACTGAGATTTAGGGCCTCCTACAGAGGAATTTAATGCATGACAAAACCCCTCACTGCTGCCTCTAGGATTGACTGACTGCCTGTCCCCTACCCCTCCTGTCAGGCATGAATCAACTAACCTAACTTCCTATCTTTATGCCTGGCTCAGTTTTGTTGTTGTTGTTGTTGTTGTTGTTGTTTGTTTGTTTCTGGAAACTTTTATAATCCAGTATGTCCTAGCCATTAAAAAGCACTTAATCAAATACATACATAATGGTATGGAAATGAACTAGGTATTGTACACCTGAGTTAAAATGATATAGTGTCTGCACCCTGCATACTAAATCCTAAACTAAATCTGGTTAAGAAAAATCTAGTTTGGCACAAACTTCATGAAAAGAAAGCATGTGATCTTGGGGAATTTGCATTTTCACCCTGGGTTGCAGTTCCCCATCTACAAAATGAGAGAGTTGGACTGTAATGATTTCCAAGAGCTCGAATTTGGGGATTTTTAGTGTTTATAAATCATTTTGCAAATACATGCCTTTTATTCTTATACTAGCTAAATTGAATAAAATGCAGAACATCTCACATTAGTTTGATAAGCAACTAGAATAAATTAAATTATCCAAAACTGAAAACTCTTTCCTATATTAAATAGAAGTTGCAACAATAATATTTCAGATCTAGATATGTGTTCACAATTTTTTATTATGATCATAGGCCACATTACAGTGGAATTCCCAGGATGAATAACATTTCGGAAATAATAATTTAGAAATAAATAATAAACAAATTATTGACACACGCAATAATTTTAGGTCAGTGATTTGGAAGGGCCAGTCTCTAATTCAGTATATATCAGTGGATCCTAAATAATTTGTTCCTCTGGGCCATTATCTGAAAACTATAATCAAGGCCTGAGGTTCTTCACAGCTGGCTCAAAAGAATCACCTGCAGGGCTTTTATAGGGTGATTGATTGAGGTAGCTGGGGAGTAAGACCACTATTCCAAGAGACTGCCATACAGAATGGGTCTAAAGCAGTTATATGACCCAGAATTTGTAGGTGTAGCTGTCACCCACCACCCACACATAAGGGAGCCCCATTTTCCCAAAACCACTGAATCACATCAACCTATCCTTTTTTAAAATACTTTTTTTTAGTTGTAAATGGACCTTTATTTTATTTTTTTACATGCAGTGCTGAGAATTGAACCCAGTGCCTCATGCATGTGATGCAGGTGCTCTACCTCTGAGCTACAACCCCAATCCCTCAATCTATCCTTTTGATACTCTTTGTTTCGGAGTGAAAATATGAGATCCTATGGGAACATTCACATCTAAGCAAAACTGCCTCTTGCTGGAAGGATTCTGGTTCACCTGTTTGTTAACAGCTTCCTTTACCTTTCTCAGGATGACATAGGGCCTTTATCTCTAGTCCTGGTTAAAAAAAAAAAAAAATCCCACACTGCTTCCATTATAGGATCTAATGTTTGTGCTTATCCCTAAATATCCTATATGTATTATGCTTAATTTACAAATGTTGACAAGCTCTTTGAAAAGCTATATAGGTTTATATCCAAGTAAGTCAGTTCCTCCAACAGGCATATGAAGCTTTCCTAAGATTTCCTTGGTCTTAAGCCACATGTTATCCTGGAACTCAATGCTTGTTTAGTCTTTTCAGTTGTCTGTGTTTCTGTAGTAAAATCCTGAGGGCAGGATCCAAAGAAGAACTGCAGCCATCATTCATCAGAAGTAGCAATGTGGGAGACCATTTTATAGTGGGCTTGGCTAGTTCTGATTGGTCAAGAGTAGGAGTGAGATGTGTGTAATAATCTTCTGAAAATAAATCTCCTTGTGTAGTAAAACATTCTGTTATCCCATCATTACAACCCAACCTCATTACTCGGGTGGAAACCTGAACTGTGGATGGTTTCTGGAAGTAAGAGCATGTTTGGGGAGAATCCCATTGTCAGGGATACCATAAATCCAGGGTGAAGGCCATAAGTTAAATGATTTCTATTTCGGAATTGGTTGCTTTCAATCAAGTAATGTTATGGTTTCCTTTGACATAAAATGGTATGGAAAATTGAATTTTTATAGAGTCTTCCAGTATTTTTAAATCTTTTTGATTTAAAAATCTGATTAGCCGGGCATGGTGGTGCATGCCTGTAATCCCAGCAGCTCGGGAGGCTGAGACAGGAGGATCATAAGAAATAGAGAGGCACTAAGCAATTCAGTGAAATCCTGTCTCTAAATAAAATACAAAATAGGGCTGGGGATGTGGCTCAGTGGTTAAGTGCCCCTGAGTTTAATCTCTGGTACCCCCCCAAAAAAAAAAAAATCTGGTTGATTTTCTAAGACATGGTAAGTCTCTCAAACTTGTAAATAGTTACATAGATGTACTCATTTTCCCTTAGTATGCATATGTGCATATAAAATGATTGGGCAACAAGTAAAAGCATAGAATGGTTTCCTTTCTTCCAGTTTTACAAATTATAAAATTTTTGTTTGAAGTAATGGTGGTATGTTTTCTTTTAGAAACTGGTTTCTCTTCATTGGATTTTTTTTCTAGACAAATCATTATTCAAACTCAATTATAGTATCATTTACCACATTTTATACTTAGTATAAGAAAATACCTTTGTATTTTAAAATAAAATTGTGTATATTATTACTTAGCACCTTAGTTCTTAGTCCTTGTTCCCTAAAGTATTATCAGAAATTTATTTCTTATAGTAACTCCTGAAAAATACCTGGTATAAGACATAGTTAGATGCTACATACATAATAAATAGTAGAAGCCACTTTTTCCACAAGATGGTCTGTTTTGTTCCTGTTCTAAAACAGAAACTCTGTAAGCTGTCTTTACTTTGAACATCTTTCAAGTTGGTAAAGTTGCTTCCTTTTCATTGATATGTTCATGTATTCAAGATTGATGTTAAGGCTACCCAGAGGTGTGTCCAAGTATGTGTGTTAATATATATGGCCAATGGATGCTCAGTAGATTCTTTGTGAAACCTTGAGCAAATTGCACTACTCTTTCAAATAAAGGCAGTTTTATTTTTCCTTAGTCCAGCCTGGTTAGCCTGCATTTTTAGCATTCTCACAAGTGATTCTGTGGAGACCCCAAGCCAACAATTACTTGTTGGTTACTTTTAAAGGCAATAAAGTGAGAAAAAGAAAAAATAACCATCAGAAGTAGCTAACTTTGTTATTTTTTTTCAGTGAAAATTGCTCTGATGGGCTTTTGAGATTCTTTTCTAACTCATTCACAATCGAAGCTGTCATTTTTAGTCAACCAATCCCAAGAGTTTGTTCATTATATGAAGGAAATATGTTTAAGTGTTCACAGGCAGTGCAGTGAGGATTCCCATAAGGTTTGTATCTCTGGTGAGATATTTCACATTGTGTTTTTTGACCTGTACGAGGTATACCAGGGTCTTCTATTTTATCCTATTGAGATAAAAGCTAAAGCCCATGTTGTCATAAAGTGCTTCATATATGCTTTTTAAGGTAGTGATTAGAATATCTATATACACATTCACACTTAGTGGAAGTCATTAGTAAGCACAGTGTGTCTAAAATTTGGACCTAGAAACTTTTACAAAGGTGGAAGCCTAAATAAGGAGTTTCAGAGTTTTAATTGTTTTAATGGTTCTCTCTCTACAGACATGGAGAGGAAATGAGCCGGAAGAATGGATCCCTCGGACATACCAAGATTTAGAAGGTCTGCCGTGTATAGTGATATTAACTGGCAAAGACCCTCTTGGAGAAACCTTTCCCAGGTATAGTCTGAATAATGGAATTCTGCTTGCCACCAGGTGGCCAGCTGCACTGATGATCAAAACCTGGCTGATACATGCTCATTTCGTTTGTCTGAGGTAATGAGAAGAGGGTTGTTTCATGCAGGGATGTAAGAACAGAGCTTTCCTTCCTTGTCTCTTTCCACTTTCCAGAGAGCACCCTCCAATTCTGGGAATGGAGAGAGCCACATTTTAAAATGTTTGTGCATGAAAGCAGGGCAGCCAGAGAGGCTGAGAGGAAAAGCAGAGTTTGTTTTCTTTTGTTGTTGTTTGGTACTGAAGACTGAACCTAGGGTCACTTTCCCACTGGCCCTTTTATTCATTGTTTTAATTCAAAAATTTATTTTATTTTTTTAGTTATCAATGGACTTTTTTTTTTAATTTATTTATATGTGGTGCTGAGGATCGAACCCAGTGCCTCACACATTCCAGGCAAGTGCACTACCACTGAGCCACAGCCTCAACATTCAAAATTTTTTTGAGACAGGGATTCATTAAGTTGCAGAGGCTGGCTTTGAACTGTCCATCCTCCTGCGTAGCTGGGATTACAGGTGTGCCTCTGCACTGGGCTTTTTTTTTTTTTTTTTCTTTAACAAAGTACTTTGTCTCTGTTGCTCTGCTATTCCCAATCCCTCAAGGATCTAGGGAGCAGAGATTGGAAGGCAGCTCTAACAATATAAGCATCAGTTGGTTGCTTATGGAGTCCATCGGGCTGTGCCCTAAATACCTTACGTGTTTCATGCTGTTCCTTCCTTGCAATGACCATAGGAGGGGCTTTGTAGGGCTCTGTGATTTCTATTTGAAAGAAGATGAATTGCAAAGAAGTTCAGGTCGTAATGTCTGGGAGGTGACAGAACTGAGGTTTGAATCAAGGTGTAGCCCTGGTCTTCACTGCTGCATGACACACAGGACCTACAAATCCAGCTTAGACATTGCACACCCAGCCCCAGGGACTCACTACCAATGCAATTAATTCTGTGCAGGTCTTTGAAGTACTGTGACCTCCGGTTAATTGACTCAAGCTATTTAACTCGCACGGCCTTGGAGCAGGAGGTGGGTCTGGCATGCTGCTATGTCTCAAAAGAGGTCATCCGAGGGCCCACTTCCGCCCTGGACCTCAGTGGCAAGGAGCCAGAGAGGGCCCCCATCATTGAGAATGACTCTGAGGAGCTGCTCATTGACCTGGAGCGGCCACAGAGCAACAGCAGCGCTGTCACGGGAACCTCGGGTAGGTACTGTTTCTTTTCTCACAGGAGGGACAGGCCAGGAGGTGTACAGGTGTGGAAGGCAGAGCTGTTTACGGACCCCTACCGTGCCCAGAGCAGCCATGGTGACTGTGGCACCCTCTCTAGCCCTCAGCTTCCCAGGAGGGCTACCTGGAAAGCAAGGCTGCAGAATAGTCATAGCCTCCTTCTGTGGGTAAAAATTTGACCAAGAATTTGATAATAGACTAAACAGAATACATTTTACCAACCCAGCCTGCACCCCGCTCCCTAGCACTTCCCATCCTATCTCCTGTGGTCACTCTACATCTCATATTTGTACACAAGCCCCCTTTCCTGCAGGGCCTGAAGCTGTAAGTTTATGTTGAGTAGCTTACAGCCTGGAACAAAACATGTTGAGCGAGGGAATAAATGACTTTCCTCAATACTTGGTGGCACATGTTCGTACGGGGCAGGCGTCTCTGGGTTGACTGGGAAGAGCCTCCGTGAGCCTGCCGGCCCTTCCTTCAGCCTTCTGAATGTTGCCTGGCCTGAATTTCCTTCTGATAAATTATAGTACAGCAAATCCAGCAGTCTATTCTAGTCTTTTCTGATTATGTCAGTAATAAAGCCTAATGCAGAAAACCCAGAGAATGTAACAAGATACAGAGATTCAAAGTGAAACAACCCCATCGCCAGAGGTAACTCCAGCAACCTCTGAGGCTGCACATCCCCCCACTCCTTTCCCTTTTTCCTCAACCTATTATTTAGATCATTTTTTCACACACACACACACACATACAATATTTTGTGTCCAAGACTGTGCTAGTGTTCCTATTTATTCTGTCAGCAGCTGTTAGATGGCTCTCTGGGAACTAAAGAGGTCCCTGCCTGTGGGGTTTTCTGTCCTTGCCACCCAGGGCCTGAAGGAGCAGGAGCCCTTCTCCCTGTGCACAGCTCTCCCTCCACAGGACCAGCCTGCCCCTGTTTACGCTTCCAGCTCCCTCAACCCCATCACTATAAGTCTCCCCAATTTTCCCTCTGAGACTATCTCAACATAAAGTCATAAGATAGTAAAGGGTATCAGAGGAGTACAGGGAAATGTCACCTTTAGGAGCTTTGGGATTCAGGGGGCATCGGGAAGGGAAAGGTGGGGACAGAGGGACACCTGTCTCCCTCCTGCACTTCAGAGCGGATCTGCACCATGTGGCTCCTACACCTCAAGCTCCAGGCGACTCACACAGAGGAAATGGTTTTCCCTCTGCTGCTTAATTTCCTGCTCCTTGACCTGCTCACAACATGGGCATCTGGAACCCCGCCCATGGGCTCCCTCTGCGGGTGACAGGCCTGAGGGCAAGCTCTCAGGACTGACAGTGGTAAAACTCAGAGGAGCAGTGAGTGACTTGGTTTTAATAGCCACTAGCTCAGGGCGGCTCAGGTCTGGATCTTGCAAGGCTGGGATTAGACCTACATGCCTGCACAGCACCAGCCTGAGCTGAAAGAAACTTTAGCCGGAGTATAAGGAGCTTGTATTGTCTCAATCAAACAGGGTGACCTGTTGGGGGGGAAACAACATACTCGAAGTTAATTGGCCAAATGTGGAGGAATAGCCCTGGGGACGTACAACACCTGGTGCTGAGTAAGAATGCCTTCCATCCTCTTTTGCACGGGGGACATCCCCACCCTGGGGGAGCTTAGCCACAGCCAGCCTTGTGAGGCCTTGAACCCTAAACCCCACCTCAAGGCAGCCACTGCCACTGTAGGGAACTGGAATCTGGTGCCTGTATCCACCAGGGTCCTGGAGGGATCCCATGTCATACTGAATGAGTGGGTTGGAGAAGAGTTTAATAATGGGACTGATTTCCCATGGGCACAATTTAGAAAGGGAGCAACAGGTGACACTGTGCATGGGCGTAGTTAACCTGGGAGCCCTGTCCACCATCAGGCTTGAAGGAAGGCAGGAAGACGCAGTTACTGAGACCCAAAAAAGAAAGGCCACCCAGGGTGACCACACAGGAAAAAAGTGAGAACCAACTTCTTGCTGGCATCTCCCATTGGCCAAACCCATAAAAAAGGCAGGGAGGAGGCTGGAGACTGAGGCAAAGGGAAGATTTAGCACGGAGTCTGCAGCCCACAGAGCTGGGCCAGGTTCCAGCTGCTCTGAAGGCCTTTACCCTCTCCCTTGGCAACAGTGATGAGTGGGTGTAGGGAAGGTTCTGTCCGTCCTCTTTCAGGTTCCATCATGGAGAATGGGGTCAGTTCCTCCAGCACAGACAAATCCCAGAAGCAGTCCCTGACCCCCAGCTTCCAGAGCCCAGCAACCAGTGTGGGGATGGATGAAGGTGTCTCGGCCAGCACAACCGGAGCTGGAGACCCCCTGAAGCAGGAGTGTGACTCCCTGGGCCCTCCAATGGCCAGCAGTACCACCTCCAAGCCGTCGTCGTCGTCCTCGGGACCCAGGAGCCTTGCATGGCCAGGGCAACCTCCCAGAGGCTGTAGGGGCCTACACGCCACCCTGCCCCCAATTGTGATCTTATCCAAAGCAGCCTACAGCCTCTTGGGCTCCCAGAAGGGTGGCAAGCTGCCCTCCTCCTCGTCTCTGCTGCCCCATGCTGATGTGGCCTGGGTCAGCTCCCTGCGGCCATTCCTGCACAAGGACATGAGCAGCGAGGAGCAGTCCCTCTACTACCGGCAGTGGACCTCGGCTCGGCAGCACCATGCCGACTTCAGCAACCAGCCCGACCCAGCCTCGGGTGCCCGGAACTTCCACCCCCGGCGGCTGCTGCTCACTGGGCCCCCCCAGGTAGGGACAGGCCAGGCTGAGCCCTGTCCTAGGCTAGGGCTGGCACATCTTGCATGTGGAGAGGAACCAGGGGACCTCCTTGGGGTGGGTGGGGGGACAGGCCTCGGGGAAAGACCTCCTTCAGGCCCCTGGAGTGAGGCGCCAAGGTGTGAAATCTCTTTTCTCCTTCCCTTCCTTCTCTTCCCCTCCCCTGCCCTTCCCCAATTAAAACTATTTCCATCAGGTGGGAAAGACTGGCTCCTATTTACAGTTCCTTAGGATCCTCTTCCGCATGCTCATCCGGCTCCTGGAGGTGGATGTGTACGATGAGGAGGAGATCAATACTGGTGAGTCCTGAGCCAGGCGGGGCACAACCGCATTAGACACCAAGTGCCAGGAGTTTGCTTTTGCTTTCTGGGGTTTCTATAATACCAAACTTGCCCTGCCCTGACAAAGGTTACCAAGGTCGAAGACGGGTATGCCGGGCAAATAATGGTGAGCAAAACTGCCCTCATTCAGTTCCAGGAGGTCAGGAGGACCTCCCTCTCTCCAGTGTCCAGCAAGCGGCAGGGCAACAGGCATTTGATAAAGGCTTGTTAGGCACCTTAATTCCTAGATGGTCAAACTCATAAAATCCCAACTTGTCGTGTTCGATTTTGTAAGGATCCAGGGAACATTTATATTTTTAATTCCAGTCCTTTGTTGGTTAGCCAGAGTGCATCTTATATTTTAACCTCAGGCTGTGTGTGAAGGTGGAGGATTACTATAAGGAAATGAAAACTTCCTGAGTGCAGAACCGAACACCTATGCCACCGCTTCCCCTCTGCAACAAGAGATGATGGAGGGGCTTGCAGGGCTGTGGGGGCCAGTGTGCCAATAAAGACCTCCTGAGGGATAGGGGTATAGCTCAGCTGTGGACCCCTTGCCTAGTGTGCTGTAGGCTCTGGGTTAGATCCCTGGCATCAAACCATAAACCTTTCATGCTGACAGAAGTTGTGGGAGGCAGCAGAGGGGGCCCGGCAGAAGTTCTTCTGAGTCCCTCAGAGACGAGGACTGCCCTTGACATCTTCTATCAAATCAGTTCTGGGAGAGCTTATCTCACTTGTTTTTCTTAAAATAGTTGGGCCTGTTCTATGAACAGCCCCAAGACTAATGCAGATACAAATAGATAAAAATCAGCCACGTTTAATCATTTTGTTATGGCTTTAGCCCTGTACCCATTCCTCACTAATCCACATCTATGATTTCAGAGACACACATACAATCTCCCCCACCCACATCTCTTTGTGTCCCCAGCTAAGCTGCATCCAATCCCCCGGGGCCCACCACAGAGGAGAAGGAGAGCTTCAGGGTGGCCTCAAAACACCCCAAGCCTCGGAAAGGGGCTGGGACCAAAAAGATAAGCCTTTGGGAACCAGGGCCCTGTTGTTCCTGCCAGCTCTCCCACCAGGCTCCCTGACAGTGCAAGGAAGCGATGCCTTTGATTTTTATTCTCAGATTGTACAAGAGAGGTCTCAAATCTTCCTCTACTCCTGAGGCTATGGTTGTCTATCCCAGCCGGTCTGATGGAAGAGCCTGGGCTTTCTTCACACTCACTCTAGTGCAGGTTAACACAGTGGTGCTCTAGAGAGGCACAGTGACACTTCCTTAAACTAGAATAAAACTTGAAATTTTAAATAAAATACAAAATTCAACTCAAGGCATAAAAGTAGTTGTTTGTGCTAAAATAATAATGGCAGCACTTCCAGTCTTTTAGGCTTCATTTTCCACCAAAGTGTATTTCTTTCATTCCCTCTTTAAGCTACTTTTCTTTTGGGGGGATGGGGGGTGGGGGAGGTAGGGTACTAGGGATTGAATCCAGAGGTGCTTAAACACTGAGCCACATCCTTACCCCTTTTTTAATTTTTTGAGACAGGGTCTTACTGTTGGTGAGGTTGACCTTAGCCTCCTGAGTTGCTGGGATTTCAGGCATGCACCACACCTGGCTTAAGCTGCTTTTTGATCTTACACATTTTACCAATAGCATCATCTACTAGACACCCACTCTACCTGCCATTCCAAGAAACCATCCCTAAAGCTATAAGAACTCAGGCACTTGGAGGGGTTAAGTTTGGTTCTTATAAGTATAAAGCAGTATTCAAGCCCCAGCCTAACCTTGACCACACAATGGAATGATCTAAGGAGTTCTGGCAGCATGGTGGGTACCTGGGTAACAGAAGAGATCCTGTCTTTACTCTTGTGGTGGGTGGGGCCTGAGAGTGGGGTTTCACGAACTTCCAGGTACTTTTAATGTACAGCAGACACTGGCACTCTCATCTTGAAGTCTCTTGGGTGTCAATATCTTAAAACCCCATAACTAAAACTCTTTTAAGAATTTAAATCATCCAAATAAACAAGATTTTTTTTTTTTTTATGTGTGTGTGTGTGTGTGTGTTGGTGGGAAATTCAGTTGATCTAATGGATACAAGAGTTTCTGAACTGGATCTATAGAGACTAGTGTAGGGGTGATCACTCCTTGCATGAAGGAATAATTATGGCTTTTTCTGTCCTGGGATAATGGGGCTCATTTTTTCAGAAATGGTTTGTTTATCCATCTGGGCTTTATGCTTCAGAAAACCTCTTCCTGACACTGTGGAGGGAGGGAGGGAGAAAGGGAGGGAGGTTAATCTGCCTGTTCTGCACACTTCCTTCTTGTCCTAGATCACAGTGAAAGCAGTGAAGTGAGCCAGTCAGAGGGAGAGCCCTGGCCTGACATCGAGAGTTTCAGTAAAATGCCTTTTGACGTCAGTGTGCATGATCCCAAGTACAGTCTGATGAGCCTGGTGTATACGGAGAAGCTGGCAGGGATCAAACAAGGTCAGTGCAAGTGCAGCCAGGCTTACCTCCTGCAAATCCAAGGACACCAGAAAATCAGGACACGAGGCCTGGGGCAGTTCAATCTTTCAGAACAGTTTAAATAATTCTCCCAGTTTTCTCTTCTCTTCTGTTTCTTATTTACACACATCATCTTTTGATTTCCTTTTTTTTAAAGTATTTATTTTTTTAATTGTAGTTGGATACAATACCTTTATTTTAAGTTTTATGTGGTGCCGAGGATTGAACCCAGGGCCTCACACATGCTAGGCAAGCACTCTACCACTGAGCCACAACCCTAGCCCATCATTTGATTTTCATACATTCCTCTCAGGGCATAAATTATAAAATTCTTGGAAAAAAATCCTTTTGGAAAATAGAGGATGTTTTTTCCCCCAGGTACAGGGGATTTACACACATATTATGGAATGATGGTTTTCTACCCCTTTTATACACAGAAGTAATAAAGGAATGCAAAATTGAGGAGCCCCGGAAACGAGAAACTGTATCCATGATGCTGACCAAATATGCTGCCTACAACACCTTTCATCACTGTGAGCAGTGCCACCAGTATATGGACTTCACCTCTGCCTCCCAGGTGCAGCTCTCACCTTTGCCCCTGCCTTATATCTCTGTTACCAATAGGGATTTGCATGTAAGGATAGGGGCGGAGGGATATAACATAAGCCCCTAGATAAAGTATGGCTTATTTATGAGAAAGAGCTACTCATTGGTGAGAAAAATGCATGAAGCAATGATTAGATGAGCTTTGGACTTAGAGATTGTGGGAGGGTAAGCAGCTTAGTTTTAGGGGCTTAAGTTACTTCATGTGTCATGTTTAGGCTAAAAAGCTGAGATGCTTATCTGTGATTCTGAAAAAAACTAGATATTACAGTATGCTCAGTAAAAGCCACCGCACACCCCCCCGCCTTGGGTTGTTGACTAAAATGGCAGGAGTCCATATGGTGTGTCCTGGAAGCTATGTCCTAACAAGTCTGATTTTTCACCAATCTAGGCACATATTACTTCTTGGGATGATTTTGACCAGTGGAGTTAATGTTTCATGCAGTGAAAGAAACACAGGAAGTGGGCCAATATCCCTTAGCATTTGGCTTTTTTTGTGTGTGTGCTGTGGATTGAACCCAGACGATCACGTGAATGCTTAAGCACTCACTGAGCTACACCCCCAGCACAGTATTTTTGGCTAGTGCATCTTTAAACACAAGAGAAGGGAATGGTAGCAAATGACAGTAAAACCCAGAGCCTGCCCATGCTGCTTTCTGCAAATTTATCTTCTTGATTTTATTTATTTATCTATCTATTTACTTACTTATTTGTTTTCGGATCATTTGGAATTTATTATGTCTACTAGGCATGAAAGTCAGAAAATCCAGTAGAGAGTTGTCTATAGGACTGTGGATCAGTATACAATTTGGAGTTGATAAAATGAAAACTTAAGGCTTCAGAAATAAATCTCTTTATATATTTTTTATTTGTTCTGATCAGTTATACATGACAGCATAATGTTCTTTGATTCATTATACACAAATGGAGCACAATTTTTCACTTCTCTGATTGTACTCTTCTTGATTTTAATGAGTTGGCACTGAACACCTAGAAACAACTCTTGCTTCTTTGAGGCCATGCTGAGTGGCTCCCCCAACCCGTTTCTGCTCCTCAGGACCAGGTCCTCACCCCTCCCCTGCATCACATCCTGAAATACAAATGGACACTAGAAGGGACACATTGAAAAACTGGAATACAGATCACTTTTTGTATACTATTTGCTTGCTTGGTAGGCTACTTTAAAATCAGCTTTAATGCTTTACAGAATACAGAATATGCAAGTCCTCTGATCTATAAACCATAAGTTTTTAGAAAATTTTTAAAACCCCTCTTCATAGAGGTTTATTTATTTTTTGGTACTGGGGATCTAACCCACTGAGCTACACCCCCAGCCCTGTTTATTTTGAGACAGGGCCTCACTAAGTTGCTGAGGGTTTAGCTAAATTGCTGAAGCGGGTCTTAACCTTGTGATCTCCTGTCTCAGCCTCCAGAGTACTGGGATTACAGGCATGCACCACTATGCCCAGCTTTTTCATATATAAAGTTGCTGTATGACTACAGTACTAAGTAATATATTTCCACATCTGTGAAGCAGAATAAACTAGAAATTTTTTTTGAGAGAGAGAGAGAGAGAGAGAGAGAGAGAGAGAGAGAATTTTAATATTTATTTTTTTAGTTTTGGGTGGTCACAACATCTTTGTTTGTATGTGGTGCTGAAGATCGAACCCAGGCTTGAGCCACATCCCCAGCCCCAGAATAAACTAGAATTTAAAGGAAGAACCATAATATTGTTTTTTCTAAGAAATGTAATATTTGGGTTAAAACAGATGAGAAACCATTCTGGATTCTGGTTACTGAGGAATAACTGATGTTATCTTTCATTAAGCCAAATATTGTCTGCATTTTGTAAAAGCATGTAAAAACCTATTATATAATTATTCAGAGATAGGCTACTGAGAGCACGTGAACTTCCCAGCAACTTGGCTAGGATGAGTAAATGGTCCCTCCCTAAAGCCAGAGTTTGGGACTAAATGACTGTATGTCTTTACAGCTTCCAGTGCAGCCAGGAAAGATGGAGCCACAGAAGCCAATTCAGTGGTGTCAGTTCTACTTTGTTTAGAAAGCTCAAATTCAGTTCATTCAACCCTGGCTCACAGAGCGTTAGTGTTTCCCCCTGTAACTGGGGGCCTTTGGGAATGTGCACATAGCAGAACACACCAGAGGGAGGTCTGATCTCTGCCTAAGACTGAGCAGTTGAGCCCTAAGAGCATGAAAAATGAAGACAGTGGCAGCAACAAGTCCTTCATCCATGGAGAGGCCACGCAGGGCAAGATGCCTAGCTCTCATGTCAGTAGAAGCTACTGTGTGTTGAAGCTTCCCACCCTTGTAAATGTTGCTACCCTCAGCCTGAAGATCTGGTGGCACTTGTATATGTCAGTTTGCCTCTTAATAACAAGGCCAAGGAGGGACCAGGAAGTCTGGAAACCCTGAGCTTACATTCCCTTTCTTCTTTTCAAATGTAGATGTCTGACTCCACCCTTCATGCATTCACATTTTCTTCCTCTATGTTGGGAGAAGAAGTTCAGCTGTATTTCATCATCCCCAAATCCAAAGAGAGTCATTTTGTCTTCAGCAAGCAGGGCAAACACCTGGAGAGCATGCGGCTGCCTTTGGTTTCAGACAAGGTGGGTGAGAAGTCTAGATGGTTGCCAGACACCCGGCACTAGATCAGGTTCTCCAAGCTGCTCACATCTGAGGGTTTTACTTTCCCTTTTTGGTCTTGTTTCCTTTTCAGCAGAATTTGAATGCAGTCAAGAGCCCTATTTTCACTCCTTCCAGTGGTCGCCATGAGCATGGACTCCTAAACCTTTTCCACGCCATGGAGGGCATCAGCCATCTTCACCTTCTAGTGGTCAAAGAATATGAGATGCCGCTGTACCGCAAGTACTGGCCCAACCACATCATGCTGGTGCTTCCTGGCATGTTCAACAATGCGGGCGTGGGTAAGGGGCCCCCTGGGATGGGGAGAAGGGCTAAGCAAACTGAGCTCCATTCCCCTGCCATAAAACTTCCAAAGGTTTCTCTGCCTCTGGACGGTGTCCTGCTCTCCCGGCCAGAAGTCTTTTGACTCTTTGCATTTCTCTATGCCCCTTACTACCTTTTCTGTAGTTTTGGAGAAATTTTAACTTCCAAGGACTAGTAACTAAGGAAGTCACTGTTATATTGAGCACCCTGGGAAGGGTTTAAGATTCTTCCTAGGAACTTAGTCCTTTGAGGCCAGATTGTAACCCTGAAAGATGATTTAAGGGGAGGTAGTGTTTCACCTGTTCTTAAGAGTCCCTGACTCACTGTCCTCCTAGGAGCACATACCAAGTGCTAGCAGAAGGCAAGCAGTCCAGGGAATTGGAAGAATCATTCCTATGTGGAAGGAGTCTTTTCTGCTTTTCCCCAGGGAGTTTAGAAATAATGGATTCATTTCTCAAAGGGGCAATGGTTGCAGAATGTAAAGCAGAGCTGTGGGGAGGTAATGGAGATATGAAAACACTTCATTTTCCTTACATAGATGGGAAACCTCTCACTGAATGTGTTGTTTTGGAACCATACTATTCTGTACACTTCATACACTGCAGTTCTCATTATTTCCATCAACTTCTATGGGTGTCTGAATATTTCATTGTGATTTATCTCCATTTCCCTAATGATTAGGAATGTTATCTTTTCATGTGCTTTTTGACTGTATGTCTTCTTTAGAAAAATGCTCCGCAAAGTCTTTTGCCCATGAATCATTTTGTTGTCGAGATCATAGGGATTCTTTACATATTGTGGATATTAACTCTTTATCAGATGTTGTTACAGATATTACACCCATTCCATGTATAGCCTTTTCACTGTGTTGTGTTCTTTAATACATAAAAGTTCTTAAAGAAGTCCAGTTTTTCTGTTTTTGCCACAGATCACTGGCTAATTCAATATCATAAAGACTTCCCCTGTATTTTCTTCAAAATGTTTTACAGTTCTAGCTTTTATGTCTAGGTCTGTGATCCAGTTTAATTAATTCTTGTATATAGTGTAAAGGAAGTAAGTTCATTTCTTGGCATATAGATATCCAGTTCTGCCAACACCAACTGATGAAGAAATGGTCATTTAATGGCTTTGACATCATTGTTGACAATCATTTAACTATATATGAGAGGGTTTGTTTCTGGGCTTTCTGTGTCTGTATGTCACTCCCACAGTTTTGACAAAAATGGTTTTATACAAGTTTTAAAATCAGTACAAAATTTCTAATTTTTTGAGACATGATATTTGTTCATCTTTATGGATTATGGTACTTCAATATGCATACAATGTATAATAAACCAAATCAGGGTAATAAGGACTTCAATCTCTTCAAATGTTGATCCTTTTTATGTGATGGGGACATTTAGTGCTGTTTTCTTATCATTTTGAAATAAATCATAATTTGCTATAGCCAAATTAACCTTCTGGGATATACAGAAAACCAGAACTAATCCCTCTTTTCCATGTGTTTGTGCTCTTCATTGGGCTTTTTCCCATCCCTTCCTCCTGGCTACACTTCCCAATCTCTAGCAAGCACACTGCACTCCATTCTTCTAAGAGATTAGCTTTTTAGTTTTCATAAGAGTAAGAACATGGGTATTTCTCTTTCTGTGGCTTATTTCACCTCCCATAACGCTCTCCTGTTCTACCCATGTTTCTGCAAATGGCAACTTCGTTCTTTTTTATGGTGGAATAATTTTCCATTGTGTGTACATATACCACACTTACTTTATCCATTCGCCCACTGATGGGCATCTAGGTTGATTTTATATCTTAGCTGTGGTAAATAGTGCTATAATAAACATGGGAGTGCAGATATCTCTTTGATATGATTTCATACCAATATTGGGATTGCAGGATCATTTAGAAGTTTTTAGTTTTTAAAGGAATCTCTGTGCTGTTTTTCAAAATGGCCATGAGTTTACATTTCCCAAAAATAGTGTATAAGATTTCCTCATTCTCTGCATCCTGCGGCATCTTGTCTTTTTGATAACAGTCATTCCAACTGTAGTGAGGTTTACTTTTGTCTTCTGTACCTTTGGGATCCTATCTAAAAAAAATCATCACCTACACCAATGAAACCTGCCACTTTGGCTTATAAAATTTTTGTTCTTACACCTAGTCTTGAATCCATTTGAGATGACTTTTGTGCACTTACAGTGGTCTAGTTTCATTCTTCTACATACTGATATCCAGTTTTCCTGCCACAATTTATTTGAAAAGGTTGTCTTTAATAAACATTTGTAGCACTTTGTCAAGAATCGGTGACTGTTAGGTGTGTGGAATTGTCTGTCTTCTGTTCCATTGGTCTACGTAGGTGTGTGGAATTGTCTGTCTTCTGTTCCATTGGTCTACGTATCTATTTTGATGCCAGTACCATTCTGCTTTTGTTACTATGGCTCTGAAAGTAATATAATCTGAAATGGGGTACTGTGGTATCTCCAGCATTACTTCTTTTGCTCAGAACTGCTTTAGCTATTCTGGGCCTTTTGTTCTATATGAATTTTAGGACTTTCCTCCTAGTTTTATGAAGAATATCATTGGAATTTTGTTGGGGATTGCATTGAATCTGTGGATCCCTTTTAGTAATACGGCCATTTTAACAAAATGGATTTATTTTTGCTTTTTTTTTTATGTTTTACTTTCTCCTTTTTTTCCCTTTCTCCTCACTTTTTCATTTGTATCTTTCGTTTTCCCCTTTTCTTTCCTTATTATTTTCATACTCTTTATTATTTAGTGTCTATTTTATTTCCTTTAATACCAAAATTTTCTGACTAGAGTATTTGTCTTCTTTTCTATTTTTAAATTAATGGAGTTGGAGAGAACATTTCAATGCCTTATATCTTATTAGTATATGGTCTGCTTGCAAATGTCTAGTGATTATCATCTCCTCTCAAAATGGTGTTGGGAACTGGTCATATCACTCTGAACCCATGGTGGGCTTTGATGCTGAGATACACCAGCAGCCCAGGGCACAAAGCAAAGAGAAAGCAGCTCACTAAAATTCCTCTACAGTTGAAGAGGTATCAAACCCAGCAGATACACAAATCTCAACAAAGAAACACAGAAAACAGGAGAAAACAAGGTAATAAGATATTTCCAAAGATTTTTAACTTTCCAGTAATTGAACCCAGAGATATTGAAGATGAAGTGCTGGACAAAGAATTTTAAAAGCTGATGATCAAAGCAGTCAATGAATTAAAAGAAGAATAAAGGGAAGAAAAAATAGGAAGTGAAAGAATACTTCGATACTTTGAAAAAGAACCAAATAGAAACCCTAGAAATAAAAAAAAGAAAACAGAAACTAGTAATTCAAATGTAATCAAGTGTCACCATTAGACTAGATCAAGCAGAAGAAAGGATATCAAGGCTCAAAGATTCAGGATTCAAACTTCATACTCATAAATTCTGAGTCTCTCCCAAAAGGACAGAGTAAAAAATTAGAAAAAAAAAATCAAGAATAAATCCAATTAAACATTTTAAAAAAATAAAACTGGATATCAAATAATATCAATATCAAATAATGGGGGAGCAGGTATCTGACAACAGTCAACTCAGAAGACAATACAGTGAAATAAAAAATGTTGAAAATATTAGAATTCCTCAGGCTTTGGCTCCTGTCCACCCAGGCTTCATCCCACCCAACTCTTGTACAAACTTAATAGGTGGTGACATGTTCTCTTTGCTGCTGAGAGGAAATGGCCCCTGGAGTGTCAGTTAACTCCTTCACCGGCACCCTGCAGGTCCCGGCAGCAGTGGCAAGCCTTGGTGGCTTTCAATTACACAGCATTCATGCAATTTTTGGTATACAGTCAGATAATCATACCATGACCTTCAGACTGGTTATTTCTGGTGTGCAGAAATGTAACAGATTTGGAGTATCTGCAACATTGCTTATTGGTCTAACAGGGTTTTCTGTGGAATTTTAAGTATTTTCTTCATATAAGATATGTTTTCTGGGAGGTGGTTTTTATTCATCTCCAATTTGAATGACTTTTCTTTTTCTGGCCTAATTGTTCTGGCCAGGACTTCCATACTATGTTTAAATAAAAGTGGTAAATTTTTTAAGGATTTGCATTTAAATCTCAAAAAAGATTCCTTTTCATAATCTTAGGTTAAGTAGCACTTATCAAGAAATTTTCAGGAGAAAAGAGCAGTCAGTTCTCACCATTGTTACATATAAAACTAAGAAGTAAGCATTTTTCTTACAGCATTGGAACTCATTGAAAGATTAACAGGAATGAATAAAACCAACATCTTTTTTGATATAAATGCCAATCTTTTGTTAAGTAACACTGTAAAAATTAGCTATGCATATAAGGAAGTAGTAAACTGCTCTGGGGAAAAAAACAAAAACAAAAACATAAGTGGTGAAAGTAGGCATCCTTGTTCCTGATCTTGGAGCAAAGATCTTTAGTCTTTCACTACAATGTTGTTACTAATGGGCTTTTTGAATATGGCTCTGTGTTTAGAATGCCAACTATTACACACATGCTCTTAGTAGGCTTTCCCAAATCCCAGTTACTATCCAAACTGTCCTGGGTTCCTCCATCAGTTGAATAACATTCTTTTGTTTTATTATCACATTTTCATTTTAAGGTGGCTTAAGTTTGGCTATTTCCTGATGATCACCATTTTAAATAATTGCTAATACTGAATACTGTTTGCTAGACACTATCTTGTCATTAAGTTACCTGTTCCAGAAAGGGAAGCCAAGATTGAATGGAATTAACTTGTTCAGTGTCACAGGCTAGAACATGGTGGAATCAAAGCAAGAGCTTGACTCCAATCTGTTTCCTTATTATACCATACTACCTCTTGCAAAAAGTACATCTAAGGGAAGGGTGCAAAATTCCAGAGTTGTCTTCAGAGAGACGCTGCTGGCAACTCCCTAAAGGTATCTAAAGCAAAAGACTCATCAGCGCAAGTAGCACTGCCACAGTCACAGCCTGGCTACTCCCTAGTGCAGGACATATGAGTGGATACTTCTAAGCCTGACATTCTATGAGGAACTAATTAAAAAGCATCCCAGGGAAACTGGATTCCTCAGTACTCCTCAAAGTATAGCTCATGCATCTTCAAAGATTATCTCTGGTCTCTGACCCTTTACCAAATTTAAGCAAATCTGCGGAGAGGGGTCTTAGGAATCTACATTTGAAACTGACTTCCCTAATGACTCTTAAGAGAACCACTGCTCTGAGCATTTGGGTGGCTCTGCCAGGTGCAGGTGAAGAATGGGGAAGTGCTGGAGGGGCTTCAGTGAAGGGTGTGTATACATTGGTTATGCTGCCTTCCAGGTGCTGCTAGATTCCTCATTAAGGAGCTGTCATATCACAACCTAGAACTGGAGAGGAACCGCCTGGAGGAGCTGGGAGTTAAACGCCAGTGTGTCTGGCCTTTCATCGTTGTGATGGATGATTCGTGTGTCCTATGGAACATTCACAGTGTTCAGGAGCAGACCAGGTAGTGATTCTTCCAAGCAGTTCTAGGGGAGTACAACACAATGCTAACAAAGAAGATAATTTTTCTTGGCTGCAGTTACATATAGAGTAAAAAACAGAGTTACAGCTTTCCAGAGAGCAAGGTCAACACCCTCATGAGTACATTTTGAGATGACTTAAAGGATTTTTTTTATTTAGACATTCAGTATGCCATTAAATTCCTAGACTATTTCTGCATCACAGTGTTGGTCAACTATCAATCTGTTAAAAACTTATCATTTATCTAGAAACACTGCTGGGCTTCTGAATCAGGAGACCTGCTTTTTAGTCCCAGCTATTTCTCAACGATGTGGGTGAAGAAGAAAAGTCATTGAATCTCTCAAGTCCTTCACCTGTAAAATTATGGCAGGGCCAAAATCAGTTGTTGTTGTTGTCCTAGAACACTGCTGCCCTCCTATGGGGCATTTGAGGATGTCATATGTTAGGAGGCAGTCGTTGGGGGTTCATAAGGACCAGGGAATGCTAAACATTCTAAAATCCTACACAATAACCCCATGAGTCCAGTGGTGTCCCCACTCAAAATACTGTGCCAGATGACCTCTACGTCCTTTCCAGCTCAAGCACTGTGATTTTTCAGTCCTTGTTTCCATTGTGGATGTGAAACCAATGAATTTTTCACATGTTCCTCTATTACCAGAGCATACTTTCAAGCTTTTAACTTCTGGCTTTCTTTGGTAACTACTGTTCATTTACTTTCAAACATAGCTGGATTTTTTTCCCGTCTTCATGTGATAAATCCTGGCCCCTAAAAGACAGGCTCTGCAACTTCCTAGTGACAGGCAGTGTCAACACTTAGCTTAACACTGTTCTCTATTCTAGACTAATACAAAGCAAGTTGGCTCATTATGACCATTACAGTATTATTATTGCACAGCAGTGTTGGTCCTTCATAAATGGTCCTCTCTTCAGTAATAAATTTATTGACATTTTATATAAACTAACATTTTATAGCCAGTCCATGGAAGCAGGAGTGTCCAGTAAGAATGTGTCCTTGAAGAGTGTCTTGCAGCATATTGAAGCCACACCAAAAATCATCCACTACGCAATCCTGGGTATACAGAAATGGAGCAGCAAGCTGACTTCTCAGAGTCTCAAGGCCCCATTCTCTAGGTGCCATGTGCATGATTTCATTCTTCTCAACATAGACTTGACTCAGAATGTGCAGTATGACTTCAACAGGTAGGTCAGGCCTCATGGATGCAAGTACTCTTGGCATCTAATGATTGTTTATGCCCAGTTCCAGCCTCAGCAATGTTTTTATTCCTTCATCTGTCTTGGATTGTAAGCCCCTTCATCACCCTTTGAACTACCTAGATCCTTAGATATTAGAGTGCAAAATGCTTAGAAAACATACTTTAGCCATGTTATTATTCAACGAGAACTAAAATAGGCACAAAAACTGTTTGTAAGACTAAAATCCTTATCCTCAGAACTCACAAGAAAATTGCTTCTTAAAATGTTAGTAAAATCCAGAGACCTGGATCCTATAAGGAAAAGGTAGCAGATGAGTATAAGGTAGGCTAGCTCTGGCCTTGCCTCCTGAATAAATTATGTCCACATTCCTGGAAAATCAGAGAAAGACAATTTAACTATTGCTTCCACTTCCTTGTTTTCAATTTAGCAGATGCTTTGTCTTGTTTGAAGCCAGAGTGTACAAAATATAAACTACTGCTTCTGCACAGGAATACCTAATACCCTGTAGCATATTTGGAACAAAAATAATTTCATTTCCTCCTCTAATGGCTGTGATGCTCAAATCAGGAGTTTTCATGGGTCAGTGCTATGAGGACCAGCTCCATAAGGGCAAGGACAATTGTTTTGCGCTCTCCCTAACATCTGCCATAATTTCTCTGTGTATAGTTGGCATGGGTGACGATGTGACAAGCAAAGAAATCTACCTATCATTGTGGTTATGATCTAGGTATTTCTGTGAAGATGTTGACTTTAACCTGAGAACAAACAGTAGTGGCCTGCTCATCTGTCGCTTTAATAACTTCAGCCTCATGAAGAAACATGTTCAGGTTGGCGGGCAAAGGGACTTTATCATTAAACCAAAGATCATGGTAAGATTTGCAAGCTTGATTCTGTTGAAAATAAACATAGTTCTTTCTGATATATTTCTTATTAGATACTGGCATTAAGCACTTTCCACATTAGTAGAAAGTAAAGTAACCCAAGGGAGTTCTTTCTTTTCAAAGTTTTTTTTAGGTTTTTTAGTTCTGAGTGGACACAATGTCTTTATTTATTTATTTTTATGTGGTGCTAAGGATTGAACTCAGTGCCTCACACATGCCAGGCAAGTGTTCTACCACTGTTAGCTATGACCCCAGCCCCCAAGGGAGTTCTTAACATCAACTCTGCAGTTTCGTTTGCTATCTAGGGATTTATCTAGAGCCAAAACAAAAGTTTTAACAATTTAATATAATTATTTTTCTTTAGATTTAAGTCTTAAAGTTTTCATCAAAGTTTTAGTTTCAAAATGGCAAACTTTACATTTTGGTATTCCTGGGTAATTAACATGAGAGAGAAATTTAAATCAAGATGCATGTCTGATCCTCTCCCAGATTTTTTTTTACATAGTAATACAGATCAAAATAAAAGAATGAATTTAACATAAAGAGTGAATTCCATGAGCCTACTTTTTTCTAAGAGATTTACTAATACCTGATCACTTACAGCATGTGAACTGTCCAGTGGATCTTAGAAACCTCTTGGCCTTTTTTGTGGGGCGGAGGGGGCAGTGGGATAGGATTCAAACCACATGCATCTAGCAGCATTAGAAATGGCTTCCTATTGAACTGTACAGTGTACTTGTTAAATGTAGTACATTTCAAAAAAGCTTACTTTCAACAAGCTTGCTCTTACTGTGTATAACTTATTTTAAATACTATTATACTATTTCCAAAGGAAGGAAAAATTCAGGACCAAAAATGACTGTCATAATATTTGAATTTAGCATGTCACTGTGCTATTGATAATGCAGTCATGCCCCATTATCTGCAATTTTAGTTACCCACGGTCAACCATGGCTTGAAAATATTAGTATCTGTCTTGACTGTCAAGAGAGCACATTCAGGGCTGGGGATGTGGCTCAAGCGGTAGCGCGCCCATCTGGCATGCGTGCAGCCCGGGTTCGATCCTCAGCACCACATAC